TATACATATATAACAATTTATACTATATCTGAAGGAATTAAAAATCCCGTTATTAGCGAAAATTTCAAAAATTGGATTAATAATTATCGAAGTTTAGTAATTATGTTAATTATTTTGGTGGCAACTGACTATGAATATTTGATAATTTTGAAAGACATTCTTATATTTACTTGTTGCGATGCATTTAATATCCTTGATCATATTTTTGATATTACAATTTTATGGGGTGCATTTTTTGATATTTTTTTTAGGGATATCCCGCAAATAGTTATTTTAGTGAGTAAAATTTTCATTATATTTATCGTTATGAAATTATCCTACATCACAAGTAATTTTCGATTAAAGAATTCTGTTTGAATTAATGCTCTGGTTACATAATGTTTATTCATATATTTGTAGAAGTTACAATTAAATTTATTAATTCAATTTTTTGGTAAAATAGGTCTATTATTGTAATTATGATTTCCTTATTGAATCTGATATAGTTCCAGTCCTTTTACTTGTCACGTCTAGCCTTAAGATTTATATGAAAATCTGTAATTATTACTGCAAAAAAATAACATTGATTATTGTTCGGTATGTATAATATTTATTTTACTTTATTAAAAAATAAACATTATTCTGATCAAATACATTTATTAGACAGTTAGTGTGAAATACAATTATGTTTATATCTATCATTATAAATTATCTCACTTCACAATCATACTTTATCGTTGTTCATATTGTAGAGAGTAAGTATTAACTTTTATATAAAAATAGTTACCTAAAAGAAATTAAACATTGATATACTTTTTAATCAATTTCATAAATATTATTAGTTTGTAAGTATAATTTCCAATTCATTAAAAATTGTCTTATGGAGCATTCAAAATTTAATATTCTATATTAATTATAATAAATAGTGAGTAAGTAGAAAAGTTTCCCCAATTTTTGTTTATTAAAAATCTTATACAGTATTAATCAATAACATCACTGATCGATCAACAAAAAGGTTAATATTCATTAATATATTTATAATTTGGTAAAACTAAATATAATCAAAGAATTAATATAAATTTAATAATTTATATTTTATTAAAGATGTAATTTTTATGGAAAATGTACAAAATGCCATCGACCTTTTATTTCTCCCACATGGTGTCAATTCTGTGACCCTCTAAAAGAAGTAACTAAAGGAAATAAAAGTGGAAATAAAATTATTGACGAATATATTAAAGAGTTTCAAATCAAAACAACGGAATATGAAAAGGTAATTGAGTGGATTCCATTTGATAGACTAACTAACTTACAAAAGATTAGAGAAGAAGAATCAGAAATGCTATTTATGGCGACATGGCTAGATGTATAAGAATAATTAAAGGCGAACTTACAGAATATACACGATCACGTATTAAATTATACGGCGTTAACCTTAAAATATTACATGACTTTCAAACATGTGATTTGTTTATTGAAGAGGTAAGATTAAATATTATTGCTTTATTCACAACTTATAGCGATGCAATTAATATATTTGAATCTTTTATAAGCTTAAAAATTATATGCAGATAGAAGGAAATGTTGTATATGGAATCACTCAAAACACAGACACAAATCAATATATAATTGTAATACCAGATGAATTTAATTCTAGAAGAAACGATTCAAATGGGAGATGCAAATACTGTGAATGTTACAATACATCCCCTGCTTGGTGCCAGTCCTGTGATCCTTGGAGAACAACACAAGAATGGACAAGTGGAAATGAAGTAATAGATAATTTCATCAAAGAACTCCAATTCAAAGCTACGGAATATGAAAAGGTTGTTGAGTGGATTCCATTTGATAAACTGGATAAATTGCAAATTATTAGAGAAAAAAAATCAGAAACAATGTTTATGGCAACATGGCTAGATGGTACAAGAATAATTGAAGGTAAACTTGTAGAATGTATACAGTCACGCATTGAATCATGTGGTGTCAACCTTAAGATATTACATGATTTTCAAACGCGCGATTTGTTTATAAATGAAGTAAGTTAACCTATTATTATTTACTTATTCATTTCTTATAACGATACTATTAATAATTTAACATTTTTATAAGCTTAAAAATTTTATGCAGATAGATGGAAATGTAGTATATGGAGTTACTCAAAATACAGAAACAAAACAATATATAATTGTAATGCCTGATGAATTTAATTCTAGAAGAAGCGAATCAAATGGAAAATGTAAATATTGCAGACATTACAACACTTCTCCTGCTTGGTGCCAATCCTGTGATCCTTGGAGAGCAACTCAATGGACAAGTGAAAATGCAGAGATTGATAATTTCATTAAAGAACTCCAATTCAAAGCAACAGAATATGAAAAGGTGGTTAAGTGGATTCCATTTGATAAATTGAATAATTTGCAAAAGATTAGAGACGAATAATCAGAAACAATATATAAGGCGGCATGGCTAGATGGTAAAAGAATAATTAATGGTGAAATAGAATGTACACAGTCACGTACTGAATCATGTGATGTTAATCTTATAATATTACATGATTTTCAAACATGCGATTTGTTTATTAAGGAAGTAGGTTAATTTACAGCAGTTTTGAATTGTCACAACTAATAGCGATGCTATTAATATATTTAAAACTTCTATAAGCTTAAAAATTATATGCAGCAAGAAGAAAATAATATATATAGAATTACTAAATATAAACAAACAAATAAATATATAATTGTAATACCAAATGAATTAAACCCCAGAAGAAACGGAATATGCCAAAGATGCGGACATCACAATACTTCTCCTGCTTGGTGTCTATCTTGCGATCCTCAGAAAACAATTCAAGAATGGACATGTGAAAATGAGGAGATCAATAATTTCATTAAAGAATTCCAATCTAAAGCTGTGGAATATGAAAAGGTGATTGAATGGATTCCATTTAATAGATTAAGTAAATTACAAAAGATCAGAGAAGAAGAATCAGAAACTATATTTATGGCGACATGGCTAGATGGTATAAGGATACTTAAAGGTGTATCTGGAAAGTATATACAGTCACGCACTATATCATCAGTTGATCTTGTGAAATTGAATTATTCTCAAACAAATATTCAAGAACTATTAGAAAATGTAAGTTAAATTATTCATTATTCTATTTTATTGTTTGAAATTTTAAAAAATATTAATTAATTAAATATATATTTTCTAAGTTTAAAACTCATATGCAATCAAAGAAATTTAGAATCCATGGAATAACTCAAAATACAAAAACTGATCAATATATGCTTGTAATTGATTTTTATGGTAACATAAGAAAAGTCTGTAATGGAAAATGTGAGCATTGTAAACGATACAACACCAATCCAGCCTGGTGTCAGTTGTGCGATCCTCCAAGAGTGGAAGAGAAAACAAGTGGCGATAAGAACATAGATGATTGCATTAAGGAATTTCTACTTAAAGTTACGACATTTGAAAATGTTATTGAATGGATTCCATATAATAGACTAGATAATATAAAAGAGATTGGCAGAGGAGGGTTTGGTACTGTATATTCAGCAATTTGGTTAGATGGTAAACGAATGGTCGAAGGTGATGATAATTTGGGTTATATACGATATCGTAAAAAATCCTGTGATGTTGCTCTTAAGACATTGCCTGGTTCTCAAACAAGCTCCACCGAGTTTTTAAAAGAGGTAAGCCAAAATTATTTGCTACGTATTTTGGTGTAATAATGCACAGGGTATACGTATTTTAAGACGCATATGATATTTTTAATAAGTTTGATAGTTTTTGTGTAAAAAGTTATAACAATGTCATATATTTGAGGGGTATTGATGTGATCCGTTTTTATATGAAAAACTGATACGGATCGCACCTGGTAATGGAAAACTTGTTATCAGACTTTCGATTATATTTTGTTGTCTATGGAAAATCTATCACTATGATAGATTTTCTGTAGATGGTTAACTGTACACAAAATATAATTGAAAGCTCGATGACAGGTTTCTTTTGACAGCACTCTTATGTGTTATTTTGAGTCAAATATGCGTCTTTCAATATAGTGGAAATTCGAAACGATACCCATGTGTGTTACTACGCACTAAAATGGTAATTTAAATTTACTGGATATAATCTTATTAAATTTTATTTTCAAATTTTTTTCAAGTTTAAAAATCATATGAAATGCAGATTAAAGGGTAGTGCGCTTGAGGTGTACGGGCTGACACAGAATACAAAGAATGATCAATATACGATGGTATATCAATATGCCAATAGAGGAAATCTTAATGACTTTTTAACTAAAAATTTTAGAGAACTTGAATGGCAAAAAAAATTAGAGCAACTTGCGGATATATCTTATGATTTGTCTCAAATTCATAAAGCAGGACTTATTCATAATGACTTTCACAGTGGTAATATTTTACTAAATCAGAATGTTTGTGGAAGAATAAAATCATACATTACAGATCTAGGATTATCTAGAAAACAAGATGAGCGTGATTCAGAAGTTGTTTATGGAGTCATGCCATATGTTGCCCCAGAAATTTTTGAAGGTCTAAAGCACACACAAAAGGCAGATATTTATGGGTTGGGTGTTATTATGTCAGAAGTATCAACCGGAAAAAGGCCTTATGATGGATATAATTTTGATACTAAATTTGCAATAAAAATTTGCAAAGGATCACTACGCCCAGAATTTGGTGAAGGGACACCTGATTGTTACATTGAATTAGCTAAACAATGCATGGATTCAAAACCACAAAATCGGCCTACTGCTGAACAGGTTTATTTAAAACTTACTCAATGGAAAATAATCTTAGAATCAGATAATTTAATAGATGAAGCCAATCTAAAAAAGAAATTTAATAATGCTGATAGTATAATCAAAGATATATCACTATTATCTTTATCAGCGAATCAAAATCAATATTGTAACATACGAATCGATACACAAAAAATAAAAGAGGGCCTTAAAGGTACTACTGACAGGACTGAAATTACTTTACATTACTTATATGTATGATGCTTTACTATTAAGTATGATATTAATTATTGTTTCATTAGGATCTATTCAATCGAGTCAAACTAGTCAGTCTTATTCGGGTTCAACGGTTGTATCCTTAAATAACGATTTACCACGTTAGTATAATTTGCAATAATTCGATAGTTTTCAAAAAAATCTTTTTATTAATACTACTCTTTTTTTGAATTTAGAACCAACCCCAATACAAACGCCAAAGTTCGAATATTCTGATTTTTCTTCAAATGATGAAAAATCATCAAAAAACTTTGAAGGTGTCGAATTTACTCTACATTTCTTAGGTAAGCAATTAAGTATGATACTAATTTATTGTTTTATTAGGATCTAATCAATCTAGTCAACATAGTCAGTCTTACTCAGGTTCAACACTTGTACTCTCAACTAGCGATTTATCAGGTTAGAATTATTTGTATAATCTGCAATATTTGATTGTTTTTTCTTTTTTTTAAAAAAACTTTTTACTAATGTTATTTTTTTTTAATACAGAATTGATCCCAACGCCAAAGTCGGAGTATTTTAAATTTTCTTCAGATGAAGAAATATCGACAAAGAACCTTAAAGGTACTAACAGGGCTAAAATTTCTTTACATAAGTATAATTGTAAAATTTATATTAACCCCAATATCGGAATATTTTAAATTTCTTCAGATGAAGAAAAATCACCTGTCGAGTTATCAATAGACCAACATTCTAAAGTATGCTTGATTATTTCTCAATTTATTTCACTTTAAATTTTTAAATTTTGTAAATTTGTGACATTTCACAATTGGTAAAGACTTATTAGTAGTGTAATTTATGATATATAAGTATACCGTATTTGTTGGTTATAGTGGGCGGGCGTAGTTTTGAGCCATGACCTGAATTAAGCTTAATTTGGGCCTAAATTCGAAATTACACCCCTGCGCAAATACAGTATGCCTTATTACATAAATTTCAAATATTATTTAAAACCTATTCGCATTGTTTTTTTTGTTTTTTTTTTTGATAACTAAAATTACTTTTTCAAGAAACGTTTTTTCTATTTGTAAATTTTTTATTTAAATAAAAATTTAAAAAAAATGTTCACAGTGCGAGCATAAAATTAAAATTAAATTTCACGCACTGATTAGTAATTTTTGGCTGAATTCTTACTTAGTTTCTAAATTCATCATAATAATGGATTTCCTGCGAAAATAATTCTGTGCAAAAAGACAAAGCTGTGAAAAAAATTATCAACCACAATAAATAATGAAGTCGATCAGATGATTTTATTTACACTTCCAGGCTTTATATTATACATGTTGGATATCTAGGCTTTAAAGAAAATCTGCATTCTAAACTAACAATTCGCTTAAATAAATTATATCACTGGACGTTTGGAATCTAGGGTTGGTGATGGGAATTTTTTGGCATGTCTAAAAGAGCAAGCCTTTACTCGAGGCATGCCCTATATATGGGGTGGTGCGCATTTCGCTGACAATCACTTCACTGACAGCTTAATTCACCGACAATTACAGCCGTTTTCATAAATTCTGGGACACCCTAAAAAAATTTGCCGAAGTCTATTCGGCCGAAGTCGATAAGTTATTGATTTCGGGAATAATAAGATTCAGTAACAGATCAAATTAGAGATGTACCTCGCGTGAGATAGCAAAATTCTCACAACGCAATTTCATGCACCTTGCGCAAGGATGATGTCAACCTTGCGTGAAGTAAAATTATTCGATTAAGATAATTTTAATTAATAATCAATTTAATAGTTTTTTTAATTAATTAATATTAAATAGCTATGTACTTATTACGTCATATTATTAATATATAATAAAATTTTTTTACTTGAATTTTTTGCTTTGTTTTTAATTTTATCGTTATACGTACAATAAATTGTTACAATGTCACCCAAAAAACAAATTTGGAATCATTTTACTCAGTTAGGAATTGTAAATGGCTTTGTTAAAAAACGTGTTCGCTGTAATTACTGTAGTTATGAATTAAGTGAAGCTGCAGGCCGATGTGAAGCACATTTGCGTAACGATTGCTTAAAGGTGCAAAATAATGTTTTAAGACAGTATTTTGGAGATAATTTTCAGCGCAATAATTCCAATAATGTATCTTTGGAACCATATAATGTTGAGAATCTTTTTGGTCATCTTTCAACTATTCAAGAACCTCAACAAGATGAATTGAAACTATTATTTGCTCAAGCTGTTTTTTATTGCGGCTTACCATTAACTTTTCCTGAATTGGAACCGATTAAAATTCTTTTCAAGCATGTATACCCTACTTTTGAATTACCAACTCGAAGGCGGCTAACAGGATCTTTACTAGACCAAATTTATACAGATACTAAGACTAAAATTTATCAACGTATTAGTGATGCAGAGTTTTTAACTCTAATTAGTGATGGATGGTATTATATAATTATTTGTTTATAATTT